CTCTAAAGGAAGAAATTTCGACAAAAAAAGAACCACTCAATAAGAAAGAAACAATAAAAAAAAAGAAAACTAACTAACTAATTGGATAATAGGAGTGCTCTTGGAAAAGTTTTTGAAAAAAAATAATATTTTACTCAAATTTGGCCAAATTTTGACCGGATATAAAGTTTTGTCCAACATCTTATTGACTCGATTTTTGTATTTACGGAAAGTTCATAGCTCAATTGTTACAATATTACATTTTGATTTTCAAAAGATGATATTCGGATCAAAAATTTTCAAGAATCAGACCATAGGACCGGCATGATATTTTTTCTATTAAAATTTGGATTGCCATGATTGACCTTAGAATAGAATAATAGTTTTCATTAGAATACATTTTAAAGATGGCTAATAATTTGTTGTGAGCATCAAACCCAAAACTCTTAAATAGGGATCCGTGTTTGTTTAAATTTTCTAGCTCGGGTGCTATTTAAGCCAATCGTAATAAGCAATGTTAAGAAGATCTTGCCCATAGAGTCCATTGCCGGGATGGTGGTCATTGTGGACCTGACTTCGCCGTTCAAAAAGATATCGTAGTCATTGTGACATTCCAAAATTTCTACATTTTTATTCAATTTTCTACATTACTCGATAGGATGTAAATAATAATTAATTCACTTGGATTGTTGTATGACATTTTTGAAAATTTAATTGGGTCACTAAATTTGTGACATGTAGAAAATTAAAAAGATACTTTTCACACAATCATAGCAGTTTGATGTTAATTCATACGCCTTTCTGAATTTAAATTGAAATAGAAAAACTTATACATATTAAGATTTAGATATAATTATGGTAAGATGTAATTTATAAAAAAACACTTAAAACATATTAAGAATTTACTTCTCAAAAGATTGGGTCTAATCAAGAGATGAATTTAGATTTTAGTGGAATAAGAAAGTTTTAACTTACGAGAGATAACAAAGGTTTAAATTTAAATTTTGGAAAGTGTTAGAGATCTAAAAAATCATGTTTTTTAAAGTGTTAGTGATCATTTTACTTTTGAATTACAATACAAATATAATTCACCATTTTCATGGAATTTATTATAAATGTGTTTTATTGAGATCAAGTTTGTCGAAAAGATAGTTTCAACATCAAACTATGAGTTTAAGATTCAATTGAAAAAAATGGGATGAGATCATAATTGAAAAATAAATTGAATATCTATCACTTCACATCATGATCCTTAAATCTCTACCATTATTCAAACTTAAAATATTTTAATCTTGTCTTGTGAGTTAAATCAAGAAAGATTGAATTCATCTCTCAAATTAGACCAATCTTTAATAAAATACTTTTCCAAATGTTCAAGTTATCATTGTTACCGTGAAATGCGTGTTCCCTTTTGCTAATTATTTTTGAAGAAGGAAAACCGTGATTCATGTGTGATTTGAGGAAAAAAATTTAAATTGTTTCTAGGTTAGCAATACCCATTTTTCTTACATTTAGGCTCCATTTGTTTCGCGGATAATGTGACATTTCTGGAATATATTTTCCAGAAAGCCATTTTTCAGTAAAATGATAATATTTTCCGGTGTTTGATCGAAACATGAAAATGAACTAGAAAATATTTTTTGCCATTTGATATGAAAAATTTGATTTGATTTTCCTGGGAAAAATTACCAAAAAAATTGAATTTTTAATTATTTTTTCTTTTTCTTCTTCTTTTTTATTTTATTTTTTATTCTTTTTCCTTTGCCGATAGCCTGTCACGCAACGGTCTATGACTGGCCACAGGCGAGGGATGAGCTCGCCCAATTTTGATGAGGCGAGCCTCGCCAAATCACCGAGCTCAAGGCCTTGCGAGTCTTGGCAAGGTCAAGCTCACCGCGGCTCATGACGAATCCGGCAAGGTGGAGCCTCGCCCAAGGCCGGCTTGGCGTGGCTCGTTGGACTCTGGTGAGTGCGAGTCTCGCCGGCCTTGGGCGAGCTCATCCCTCGCTTGTGGCTGGTCGCCAGCTGTCGATCGAGGAAGAAGGAAAAAGAAAAAGAAAGAAAGGAAAAAATAAACAAAGAAAAACAAAAAGAAATTTTGTTTTTTTTTAAAAATATTTTTATAAGAAAGAATGTTTAATTAATGAAGGACTTGAGCCCGAGCGCCTAGGACCTGTGTTTGGCCTTTATGAACCCAGGCTTGAGTGTCAGAAACCAGAGCTTGAGCATCGGGGACACAAGCACAACATTTATGGACTCGGGCTCGGGTGTTGGGGCATTTGGCATTGGCACTAAGGCTTCGTGCTAGCCTTGAAGGACCTTGGCATCGAGGCCTAGGCTCAGCTTCGATGGACCCAGGCCCGGGCACCAGAGACTTGATCCTGAACGCTGGGGACCCGAGAACCAACTTGGGATTTCCGTGCCCAAGCGTAGAGTTTTGGGTCGAAAGGCCGATACCTAGTCATATTTTGGAAAAATGCTTTCTGGTTTTTCAAAGAGGAAATAATTTTCCTAAATTTAAACATAGGTTTTTCGTTAACTCATTTTTCTAAGCGAATCAATGCCAGAAAATGTTTCTTTGGAAAATGTTTTTCGCGAAGCAAACGGATGCTTAGAATTTAGAATCCACGAGAGATTTATGAGATAAATGGAAGTTATACAGACACTTTTTAAAATTATTATTTTGTCTACTAAATAACACTGCATTTGATATTTACTCATGATCTATAATTTGAATTTCGTGTATAAATTTTAAGATTCGTGAACATTTGATTGAACTCTCGTCCTCTTCTCAGACGCTCACTGCTCAACCTAAAACCTCACCATCAGGATTGAAGGTCAATCAGAATATTCAATGGAGGTACGTTTTATAAATACTTGAATTTTAGCAAAAATTTATGTTTTTGTATACAGCCCAGTCTTTGTTTACTGTGTGTTCATATGATTCTGTTTGTGTTGGTCCTGGTCATTCAATTTCATGTTTGCATATCTGAAGTTTTTCGACATTGTCGTGTCGTGTTTCACCTAGATCATCGATGACCCGACTGCGTAAAAAACTCAGGATCGGATATCAAAACATGATTTTGTTGTGAACTGGGCAATCCCGGCATCGACAAGAGGAAGAGAAAAGTCGGAGGAGGAAGAGATGACTGAGGCGCGCAAAGAGAAGACCGACGGGTGTGACGAGGTGTGTAAAAGGAAGCAGCAATCCGAATCCGGTACCGACTCTCCTAGCATTGGTGAGTCAGGATCAGGCGAACCTTCTTCCACGGAGAGTAGCTCGAGGTGCAGGAGGGAATGCTCGTCCTGCGAGCCATCCGATTCCAAATCAGCTTCAGAGGAGAGTAGCTCGAGCAACGGTTCCTCGTCGGACTTAGGGAACGAGACGCGGTGACAGAGTCTCGTTCAGCACAGCTCGATGTCCTTGGAGTCGCCCGATCCTCACGTGGCCTTGGAATCGATTCTTGGGGAGAGTGGCTCGAGCGAAACATCCCCCTCTAATTCAGAGGAGGAGACACCATCCTCTGTCTCGACGATCCAATCGGTTTCCAGGAAGAGTAGTAGTTCAGGTTCGAGCTCGAGCGGCAGCTCCTCATCTGATTCAGCCAGAGAGATGCGGCGACGGACACTCGGCCGGCGCAGTGCCTCCTATTCTTCCGATCCCGAATTCGATTTGGGATTGGAATAGCATGTTTTGGTGGTGTTTTCGTCAATCTTTCTTTCTCTAATCCTAGTCTTTCTTTTCCAATGTTCGCTGATTTTAGCATAATTTAGATTCTCTTATTTTCTTACCTTCTTCCGGAACCAACGCATCAACCAATCTTCCAAATGTCCTAGTAATTGAAATTTAAAATTCGCCTCTTTTTAAGGATTGATACTACGAAAAATCCCGCTAAGTTAAATCTAAGTCACTTTTTCTTGTAACTAATATTCGTACCGCAAAGAATCCCAAATTAGTCCGTCCAATATCCTTGGTGGAATCACATGTCTAGCAGACAACTTGGATGATCGGCGTGTAATGTGGTTCATATCATGGAAAAATTAGGGATTTTAACAGATTTTTAAAAGGAAAAATTAGTAGATTTGAGTAAGTTGTTTTAGATCGGCTTTCCAAAACAATTGTGATATGCCATCATCTGAATTTTATTTTACAGGATATTGGATGGAAGCTAAGGGTTCTCACGGCTGTATAAATTTGTGATATTTTTGTGATTTCGGGTACCAATTTGGAATTTTAAATGATGTTAACCAATCTCTCTTTTGTGCTTAGCATTTAAAAGAAAAGGGGGGAAGATTCGGATATCTTGTTTCAGATGCCTTTTCAATCTTGAATTTAACATCAACATCCAATGCCCGACTAACAAAAAAGAAGTAAAACATCGCCGTCGCCACCGTTCCATCTTTCACCGAAGCCGCCTCCCCGGCTCGCAATAATGACAATGGAGCCAAGCGAATTCATACTCAAACACATGCACGTGCTTTGACTTTTCATCAAAGCTATTCACACCCCAACTTTCCTCCCTACTCTTTCCATGGATAGGCCAGACGACGATCCATGGTGACGTGCTATGCCATTGCAAAGACTTTGTAGCCGTGTCGTTTTCGGGTCCGTCGGATCATCTTCTTTTGTAAACGGGCGAGGTCACGTCGGGAATGGGGGAACCTCCTAGGCGGCTCTAGGAGTTTGGCATATCTCCACTGTCCTGGAAAAGAGGCATGGTTCATTGAAGCCCTTTATCTGGCAGAGAAGAGGGCGATTGTTTAACGACGTTTACTCGCTCGAGACGTAGTTTCTGCATAATCGAATTCGATGACACTAAGTCTGAATCTAGATAACTCGAGAGCGACGTTCGTGAGTCGATGGTTTGGAAAGCTTAAAAAAGAGGGAGGATAGAAGATAAGCATGGCTTGAATCAGTCAAAACTGTGGACTTTTTCAACTCCTTGCTAAGAACAAACACCTCAGACAGACAATTAGGCCACTACAGTGATTTGGCTCCTTATAAATAAAGAGTTGCTATAGTTCTAGTTCAGACCATAATCTATCATCCTAAAGTTTCTTCCTTGCCTTTTTTCTCTATCGCTTCATATGGCTAAAATTATCTCCATGACGGGCGGTCGCTTATCGGCTCCTACCGTTTGTCTTCTGGGACTTCTGATAGCCAACCTTTGCATGTCAGGTACAGTAACGAATGCTATCATATTCGATGTCGGTTTGGATTATTCGTTGTCGGATTAGATGAATACCGTATGGTGTACGCGCAATATCTGTTGTCCATATTTCCTCTTGCAAAAGCATCCTATGATTTCATCGTTTTGAAGTAGCGCATATATATGTGTTTCTGGTGATCTTGCTGAATGCATCCATTTTACCACATGCTCTCCACGCGCGAGTTCTCAATTTGACCCGATTCCATCGACACATCTGGTTCTAATGCTTGAAAAGCTGGTTTCGATTTGCCGAGCTGAACTCTAGAGCATCCCGATGTTTTTCAGTCAGCATCGGAGCAATTCGATTTCGTTAAATGAAGTGCTTAAATTCTGAACACCGAGACAATGACACAATGGACTGATTCTCCTACTAAAACCAAACTTAGCCATCACTTGCTAAAGGCATTTACGATGAGGCATAAATTGAGGACGGCAATACCCGATTGCGCGTCGTAAACTTTCTGATCTTTCTCTTTGGCAGCTAAGCTTCTGCATTTTGCATGCAGGTGTGCAATCTATAGGAGTTTGCTATGGGATGCTCGGGAACAACCTACCGCCCGCATCAGAAGTCGTCGTCCTCTACAAGTCTCACGGCATCAAGCAGATGAGACTCTACGACCCTAATCAAGCAGCTCTGCAAGCCCTGAGAGGCTCGGGCATCGAGCTCATCCTAGGCGTCCCGAACTCAGACCTCCAGGCCCTAGCTTCTAACCCTGCCAACGCGAACTCGTGGGTACAGAGGAACGTGAAGAATTTCTCGCCAGGCGTCAACTTCCGCTACATCGCCGTCGGCAACGAGGTGAGCCCCGTCAACGGAGGCACCGCGCAATACGCCAAATTCGTCCTCCCTGCAATGCGGAACATACAGGCCGCACTCAGATCGTCTGCCCTGCAAAACCAAATCAAAGTCTCCACTGCGATCGACATGACTCTAATAGGGAATTCCTACCCTCCATCCCAAGGTGCATTTAGAGGGGACGTGAGGTCCTACTTGGACCCAATCATCAGTTTCCTGGTGAGCGTCAACTCTCCATTGCTAGCCAACGTCTACACTTACTTCAGCTACGTCGGTAACCCCAAGGACATTAGCTTGCCCTACGCTCTATTCACTTCGCCGTCGGTTGTTGTCCGAGACGGATCCCGCGAGTACCAGAACCTGTTCGACGCGATGCTGGACGCGCTCTACTCCGCGCTGGAGAGGGCTGGTGGGGCCGCCCTGCAGGTGGTGGTCTCAGAGAGCGGGTGGCCATCCGCGGGCGGGTTTGCGGCGACGGTCGACAACGCGAGGACGTACAACGGGAATCTGATCAGGCACGTGAAAGGCGGCACGCCGAAGAGGCCGAACAGGGCGATAGAGACCTACATATTCGCCCTGTTCGATGAGAACCAGAAGCAGCCGGAGCTAGAGAAGCACTTTGGGCTGTTCTTCCCTAACAAGCAGCCGAAGTACCCACTTAACTTTGCACAGGGAAGGATCTGGGATGCGTATCACAATGTCCCAACTTCTTTGAAAAGTGACATGTAAGTAGATGGGAGCTCCTTGTATCTCCCTAGAACATCTGGAAATAAAGAGAATCTCTGGTTTGTGTTGTAACTTCAAGAGCTGTGAAAATTGTTCCTCATGCTCATGCTTGGTGGAATTAAACTGCTCCAAGTAATAAAAGTATGGAAAATTATCAAAACAGTCATAAACTCATTATAATTGTCCTAATTCAGTCATAAATTTTTTTCACCAATTAAGTCCTAAACATTTTGCACTTGTGCCAATTTAGTCTATTCAGCCAATTTAGGCAGGAAATCGTTAACATAAACGGCTGAGCCTAATTTCCTAAAAAATTCTCAATTTTAGGTTGAGTCCCAAATTTGCCATGAACTTTTTTTTATCTAAAAAAAAACTCCAAACTTTAGGTCTAGTCTCAATTCTGCCAAGAACTTTTTTTTTGTCTCAGAAAAAGCCCTAAACTTTAATTCCAGTCCCAAATCTGCCCCAAATTTTGTATTGTGTAAAAAAATCACCAAAATTTAATTTATTTTCAAAAATATACCCCGTGATCCCAACTTGACGTGACACTTCCACGTCGATAATAAATTCACATCAACAGAGTAACGGGGCTTCTTTTTAGACAAAGCAAAGTTCGGGGCAAATTTGGATTGAACCTAAAAATTGGGTTTTTTTTTAAATTAAAAAAAGTTTTTTGGGGTGGATTTGTTATCGTCCCTAACTTTCATATCCTAGAACAGTTTTATTTTGGAGAATTTCAATAATTTTTATTGGGTTAGATTTGTTATCAAAGTGGAAATGCGACGTCGGTGTGTATCTATTACCCCATTACTTTGCTGATGTGGATTTGTTATCGACGTGGAAGTGTGGCGTTAAGTTGGGACTGGATCACGAGGTATATTTTTGAAAATAAATTGAAATTTGCTGACTTTTTTTTTACAAAAAACAAAATTCAGGGTAGATTTGGGATTGAACTTAAAGTTTGAGGTTTTTTCTGAGACAAAAGAAAGTTCAGGGCAGATTTGGGACTGGACCTAAAGTTTGATGTTTTTTCTGAGACAAAAAAAAATTCGAGATAGATTTGAGACTTGACCTAAAGTTGGGTTTTTTTTAGGGAATTCACTAATGTAGATAATTTTTAATAGGTTTGGACTTATTTTAATAATTTTCTCAATGATTCAAAAAAAAAAAAAAACTGAGAAATTGTGGCTGCTGGGATTCGAGCCCAGGTCTCCACGGCCACAACGTGGAATTCTTACCACTAAACTACAGCCACTTGAATACAAAGATTTGCAGAAAATTTTATATATAGGAAAAAACTTGTAATAACAGAGCCTGTTCTACCCTATAAAGCTTTGTGCTTTTAACTTTATAGATAGAGAAAGTGAAGGTAAGCTGATGCATTGAACGCACAGGACACTAAGACAAAACTCCACCACACCGAACGTGACCACACAGTCCAGAAATATGTACAAGATCGATCAACATTGTGATCTTAGCCACCCCATGGCCATGCCCTCCTTTGAAAGCTCAGGAAGCTACACACATGGTGAGTTCATCCGCGACTCATGTTCCAAAACTCCACCTCGTGCTCGAGCACGCGGAAAAACACGGCTTGGGCTTTCTTGAGTTCCTCATTGGTAGCCCTCAGCAGCCGGCGGTCCGCGATCTTTTGGAGTGACCGGCAGTACTGGCCAAAACCTTCGTTCCCCCATCTTCGGCACGTCTCGGCAAGTTCCGGTGGAGTCCTAGAGCCCTCTTCGAGGCAGTAGGCAAAGCTCTGTTGGTAGACGAGCTCGATAGCCCAAAGCGCGGTTACTGCTACCGTGTACTCGACGTCCGGTCCCATCAAACTCTCCAAAAACCTGTTGCAGCAACGTCAGTGTCTTAATATCACAGATCTTAAAATCGTGCTATAGATCTCGAGAGCTCTTAATTTCGAAGCTCAAGAGTGTTTTGCGCGATGACCCACCTGCAGTAGTCTTCGTTCACCTTCTGAGGGGCAATGGAAGACAGTACAACGCCCCATTTGGAGGCTTCTTTCTTGAACCATGCAATCTCGTCGTTTAGAGCAGCCAAGCCGCTTAGTAAGACTTCCATGTCGGAGTTATCGTCGGACTCACGGCAAGCCTTCAGTAACACGCTTGATACAAAAGGAACAAAAGCTCTAACAAACAAGTAATCCTGTCCCTGCATTTTTATCCAATCCAACTCAACAACTTAAAAGTTTTTCAACAAGTAAAATTGTGAAGGAAACACAGCAACTGTGCTTCAGTTCTGCAACTTCATTGACACAATAAAGAAACAAGTCGGCCGTTCTTCTCTAAAGTCTCGCATTAGAACAAGCGCATATTCTGGTGCATTAGAATTTTCCTCAAGATTCTCAAGTCATACATTGCAAATTCTCACGGACAGTTCCATTATCGTCTGGCTTTAAGCAACGAAAAACTACTATATTACAGCTAAGTACCAACAGATTAGGATGAAATGTAAGATCTTTCCATGTCCTTCCACGGAAATCAAGCACTTCTCTGAATTTGATTATGCAACTGTTTGTTCCAAAAGCAAAGCTTAAACAGGCTCGGTCATGGAGTTGTGATGTCAACAATCAACACCGAATTGACAATCGGTCAGGCCGCCTAGCTCTGGTCATGACTCGTGTCGAAACAAGTTTCGGCCGTTTCCTCATAGCTTGTCAAAACAAGGAAGAAACACATATCATTCTCCTAACCACAAGAAATCGGAGCCATCTCGCAATTCCTCTGCTATTTAATAGAGTACATAGAATCCTAACCCGAAGTCTAACAAAAAAGAACCATCGGCACATCTAATCCGAATCATCCAGTATCCATGTAAGAGCGATTTTCGTCTAATCTACGAAAATCCCACTAACTTGTCCAAACTATTACACCTCTCCGCGCATACCTTTCCTGTCCCAAGTACGCCAAAAGTTCATATCTTTCGCCTCAACTAGCATTCATCAACAAATTATCAAGAAAATCTGACCCAAAAGCTCAAAGTCAGAACATCACCAATGCATGAATGAATGGATGAATCGTTAAAAGTGGGTATTCGAGATAAGACAGCGGTCAAAGTCGCTAACTTGTCCGAACTATTACACCTCTCTGCACACTCTGCACACACCTTTCCTGTCCCAAGGACGCCCAAAGTTCACACCTTTCGCCTCAACAAGCATTCATCAACAAATTATCAAGAAAATCTGACCCAAAAGCTCAAAGTCAGAACATCACCAATGCATGAATGAATGGATGAATGGTTAAAAGTGGGTATTCGAGATAAGACAGCGGTCAAAGTCACCAACTTGTCCGAACTATTACACCTCTCCGCACACACCTTTCCTGTCCCAAGGACGCCAAAAGTTCACACCTTTCGCCTCAAGAAGCATTCGTCAACGAATTATCAAGAAAATTCGACCCAAAAGCTCAAAGCCAGAACATCACCAACGCATGAATGAATGGTCAAAAGTTGGGTATTCGAGATAAGACAGCGGACAAAGCGCGATTTCTACAGAGACGAAGCGAATGAAGAAGCACGGATGCAGCAGCCCGTACCAGCCACCGTCTGAAGGAGCTGAGGTCGATGGACCCATCTCGGATGCTGAGGATCATCGGGTGCCTGGTGGCCGCGGTGTACATCAGGGGGTCCTTCTTCAGCCACGTCGCCGTCGTCCCCTCCACCTCCGCCACCTGCTCCAGCCCCGCCTCCATGGCTCCCTTTCTCCCCACCTCGGTCTCTGTCGGTCTCTCGGCTTCTTCGACTTACCGTACCGTTCCATAAAAATTGGATCGTTGTAGGCTTCTTGGACCGCTTGGGGCTCGGACACTACGGATTTTGCTGGCACATACGTGGCAATCTACGCCGTTTTCCTTAGCAATACTTGTATGATCCGTACACGTGAGTTCGGTTGCTTCCCAGCCGTTCGATCATGCAAATTTCACGTGAGAATCATATAATCAATGTGTACGCATGAGCTCGGTTGCTTGCCACCCATTCGATCGTGCAAATCTCACGTGTGAACCACATGGTCGGCAAATTAGATCGGTCGGGTGCATATGATTCGGTCGTGGCCGTTAAACGATGCGAGCCCTATAAGAAGTTTGACCGAAAGGATTTAACGATTGAGACTAAGGAGACGATTAAAGTTGTAAATGTAAAGTGAGCATTTTAATAAGGATAATGACATAAATGATTTTTCAACTTTGACTTAACGCAGAATGTTGTCTCTAAATTTTAAATTTGTTTAATGTAGTTCTCGAATTTTTAATTTGTTCAATGTAATTTCCGGACTTTAGGTACATGTTTAATTGAATATTTTTGAATATATACCAAAAGTCTAGGGATCACGTTGAACAAATTAAAAGTTTAGAAACTATATTACACATTGGGTTAAAATTTAGGGACTAAATTAAACAAATTGAACGTTCAAATATCACATTATACAATTGAGTTGTTAAAGTTGACAAACTATTTGTTTCATTTTCTCTATTTTAATTTAAAGCAAGATTCTACACTTTTCTCGGATTTACAAATGCCTACGTGGTCGGCAAGAGCTCCAAAATAAAGATGATAACGAAGCACAAACGGTTCAGAGGGGAGGTAATTTCTAGGCCTTAGATTTGGCTCCCGTTGAATCCTTTCTCTCTGTTTTGGAATTTTAGAAATATCAAGAATCAAGTATGTATGACATACCAAAAAAGTAATAACTATGTCTCAAATCGAATGTTTAGAATGCGAGTGCGAAACTCTTATGGTAATGCATAGGAGGAGTTGCTGACATTGATCAAATAACACAGTTGATGTAATGACTCGGTGGTGGAATTTTACACAAACCGGTTTCCGATCATAAGGTGTAGGATTGGTGAAGTCACGGAAGAGATTTTCTGGTTTAGTGACGGTAAAGCTAGTGCAGAAAATGGTTACTTGCAACTGAAGGAAGCCGGTCGAGCTTAGGAACTGGTAGCAGTTCAGCATTGAGAAGGGAAAAACAGCAATACCCAGTGGACAATGAGCTGCTAAAGGTTACTGTTTGTGATGGCCCTGAACAGATTCGATGAAACTAGGTGTTTGTGATATGAATTGAGCAGAGAAATGAAGGGTGAACTGTACCGGATTCTGTTGACATTCTTTCCTCGTATGCATTGCACAGATCAGCAAGAAAAGCGTTCTTGTATGACCACAGTTGCATTTTATTTGATGATGGTGGTGGAAATGTTCTATGTTAGTCTGTCTCGGACAACTTACGGGGCTGAATGGTGAAAATGTTGTTCGCTGAATGGCCATTGCAGTTACTGGATGACGGTGGAGAAGATATTGCAAAATTATGTATAGGGAGCAAAAGACTAGTCTACTCCGGTTGTTGAATCTCGGGATCTTCGTGGATTCGAATTACTTTCGGTGTTTCACCCGACTGATGAGGGTGTGAACTTGGTCGTTATGGCTAATAAACATGGGAGGCCTATCCAGGTGACTTGAAATGGAATTCTAGGTGGAAGATGTTCTCATGTCTTGAGGCAATGTCCTGAAAAAAGGCAAAATATTCGAAGAAGTTAAGAGTAGATGAGCAAAATCATCCTGATATCTTCCTTGAGATCCCACAGCCACACTGTATTTTCTAACTCGAAAATGATGTCTAGACGCTCAGTTTAATCTGTCGAAGAGATGTCCTTGAAGAGATCATCTGGGTTCATTAAGTTTTAGAATCTCATATGCTTCTTACGGAATAGACTAAATTTTTACTTCATTAAGCGAGAATTTTGGCTGTATTCTTCGTAGTAGTTGTGCTTGGATGGAAATTGGTGACAACCACTTATGATCTCCATTTCAGATCAAAGTAGGACTTATTCCAGTCTCAATATGCTAGCAAGAACTGTCTACCAATTGTGTGAATTGCCAAAATTTAGAAGCTTTGAGACGTTTTGCTTCATTTATGATGCACTTCGTGTGGCCTGCAAAACTTTGAACTCAAATTCTCTCGGCTGCCGTAGTACCTCGAGGTGTTTCTGGTCTTTAAAGAAGTGAATTGCTTCATGGTCAGCATGCTGACTGACTTTTGCGAAGCCCAATCTTCTGTGATATCTCAAACCATTCAGAAATTGACCCACACTAAAAGCATGATCAATGCAACATATGAAAAGGCAAATACACAGCTACATCCGCAGCACAGGTAGCAATAACGGGAAACTCAAACCACAAAGATCCTCGTAGATTATCATGCTCCCAGCACATAAGTCTTACTACAGTAGATAAGACAGCATAATCATATATTATCAGTAAAAAATCTTTAATTTTCCGGTAGCACCCAAGAACAAGAAAGAAAGACGATATCATACTTCTCTCGGGATTGTTTGGGAAGCGACATGCCATGGAGCTTGCAATCTTGTCACGGTACTGCAGACCTCGAAGAACGAATCCCAAAACCAAAGGTACGTGAAAAAAAGAAATTCTCTTATCACATTCCAACAGAGTGAAACAGCCTACAAACATTCTGATCGCTCAACGAGATACGTTCACTATCCGGCACTTAGATGAATATGAGCAAAGGTTATTAACAAGAATTTGCCGCCATACTAAGCTACGGCAGACAAGTGCTGAGCAAGTATGCGAAACGCACTCCTGCAAACACTTGTTATTCGAATCGCCAAGCAGAAAGAGAATGAATAGGCGTGCCCTTCCACCCGATAATCAGGCATTTTCTGTTCATGTCAAGCGTGCAAGAACTTCCACAAGAAAATTTCTTTACCATCAAATCTGCTTGATATAGCGATGCCATGCCCAAATCTACCTCGACCATTCCAAATCGACTGAAGAACGCCCTCCAGACATCGACTTTTACAGGCCGAATATTCCTTTCCTCTCCTTCAGCAGCAAGTATGATCCTAATTCCTTGGGCTATGTGCAGAGATTCGATGACGGTTCTGTTCTCATCATCTCGTTCCATACACTCTTCGAAACAATCGAAATATGCACTATGGTAGAAAAGCGCTTCAGTGAACCGGTTTACGAAAGCTGGTGAGTTGTGGTTTGACTCAATTTCGTAAACCACCATCACACATGGGTTCAGCTTTTTAATCACTTTCATGACAGACTCAAGCCTCTCAGGCCGAGAAATCATCGTGTGAAGGAGGAACCGGGCATAGACGACAATGGATTCTTCCTCATCCAGATCGAAAAGATCTTCCTTGAGTTCTAGCATGTCCCGCAACATGATTATTTTGAAAGAAAAGGGAACATTGAACATTCGAGCGAAAGTCTCCAGCCTTTTACCTGTGTCCTCGATCACTTGCTGCGAACAAGTACCTATCGCCGTTATCTTCAACAGCTCAAGGGAGCACTCACGTCGAGCCACGAGGGCTTGCATTAGGACCGTCCAGTGGACGCCGCTCTGTATCCTGAAGTCAACCACATGAACTTTCTTAGCCTCTGCCACATTCTCCATGATGGTCTGTATTGCGGAAAATTGCTGGATCTGAGAGAACGGGACTAGTTGGTGAGTCGCGATGAACGGAGGGCTCAGCCTCATGATGTCTTTGTCTTTGTCTACATCAAGGGCCATCCTCTTTCCCAGGCCCTTTATGCTGACTCTCCCCGTTTCCCGATCGATCTTCTCCCTAAGGGCTTCGGAAAAATAGTACACGACTCGTTCCACCGGATTTCCTGTGCCGCAGCACAGCTCATCACTCTGGTCCAGCAATTCGCTCGCCGCATCAAACTGCTGACATCCCACTTTCTCAGCAGCAGCTAGGAGGATCTCGGCAAGTTGCACGTTCCTTATCTCGTCTTTCGATAAGCATGAGAAGTAATAATAGTAAGGATGGCCTGGCAGCGCAAGATCATCGGCTGCCCCAGAAGACGACTGGATAAATTTGGCGCTAGCAATCCTCATCATTTCAGAAGTTGACAGCTCCGTCTTTCTGCGCTCAGTGTGTGGCTCGAGTACCCCATCCCCGCTCAGTCGTTTAATCCCGCTACCATAGCTTCTCAGAAGCTCGAGCGATGTTGAAGAAAACTGGAAGGGCTTGTCCTTCCTGGCCTCAATGATATCTTGTAGCTCGGTAGAGATTCTGCTGAACTTTGCGATTTCGTCTAGACAAGTCTGGATCGGCGGAGAGAGAATGTCGTATCGCAGATTATCGAGAAGCCCATATTCCGAAAACGATTGTTGTAGCTGCTCTTGCTGCTGATACTCGGAAAAAGGAGCTTCCTCCTTCGTCATGTCATTGTGATGGAGTCCGGAATATGCAAAAGAGCTGATGTCCCCGGATTCTCCCCAATCTTCCCCTTCAGAAAACGGAATTTGCATTCTTTCTCCTTTGATGCTTCCGTAGCTTTGGTTCGATGAACTCAACTTGTCCTCGACTCCGCAAAAGCTGTGTTCTGCAGAATCAAACGCTGAACTTGCCATCTAAAAACTGCAAACTTTGCTCGCAGTTTGTTATCCAGACTGTACCTATGATATGATAGTGAATAAATACACAATACAAGTGGCGTGTATTCGTATATAACAAGAAGCAACAAGGGTACTAATGTAACATTAGTAATGTTCTACTCAAGATTCCCTCTAGGATGCCCTTTATTTTAGAAAAAATACCTCGGAAGATTCTCAGTTTGAAGGAGTGACTTCAATAGCGTGTATTTTGACATTATCGAGACAACATGCGTAGTAGGCAATAGATATCAACGGTATGGTTCTTGCACGGTTGATTTTCTTGGGACCACAGCCAATTTTCCTAAGCTGATCGGTTGAGGGACAATATATGAACGTAAAGCTTATTAAATTAGATGTTCTAACACCCCTCTCACGTGCAAAT